TGTCTGTTGTCTCCGTGGAATCACGAGTCAAAGAAAAGGCATAAAAAAGCATAAAAAGAAAAGCATAAAGCATAAAAGGCACCTCATTGAAGTTTTCATTGAAAGGTTATCTCTACCTGTGTACTATCTTGTGTGAATGCAGGTATATAGGCACCTGTGAATCGGTAACATGCTATTTCATTCATTTTGTCTTTGCTACTCTTCATCAATTGCAGGTATAAAGTAAAGCGTCTATCAAATTAACGGCATTTCGTTGTACCTCGTTTGCGATAGGAGAAGATGGTATCTAATGATGATTTCGTTATTTTTAGTACATCATCTTCATTTTCAGCACCCTCAAAGGAGATCGAAACAAAGTCATGACTTTATCAAGCAGGAACTGAGTTCTGTTCCACTAGGATAGTAGTTCCTGCTACTGGAGCGTTCAAGAGCAACTACAACTTAAAGGTATTTGACATTTGTCCTCGTACTTTGAATTAAAAGTTGATGTTTAGCTCATCTACGATTTTGCCGACAAATTTGGTGCTGGTGTTGGAGCATCTAGAGCTGCTGTGGACTCTGGTTATGTTCATAGTGACACGCAGGTCGGACAAACTGAAACGATTATTGCACCGGCACGTGTAAATGTCAAAGTTTCATTCTAGACGGTCGATGCAGAATAAATATTTAGGAACTGTATATCGCTATTGGTATCTCTGGTGACAACATTTGGCTGAAATCAAGGACAGGAAGGTATGTTCCAATAGCATTATGTGCGGTACAGTCCGCTAAAATTATGTTACATGTTTCTCACCATTTGTAGCAGCTTGTGATTTATTTCTCTACTCTCACCAATGACAAGCAACTCTGTTCAGATCATCGTCGCCATTAAAAAGGACCCCGATGCGCCAATCTTCCAGATGATGCCTAGCTTCTTTATAGACGAATCATTTCAAATGATGTGTGTGTATTATACACCGTCCATCTGTGGCGTCCCATCCTGAACATGAAGTCGCAAAAAGCAAGAGACTGACCTACTGTTATCGCGCTCATCAATTTGAGGACATTGGCGTCTAAAACGGAGAGAAAACAACGAAAACATTCATCTGAAGGCGTGTCTGCTCCGAGAATCCAGGATGGGACGCAAAAGGTGGGCAGTGTGCGCAACTACATACATGATCATTTGAAATGATCCGGCTATATTGTATATAGATATTGTATAACGCATAAAAAGGATGCATTACTTCTGTTGGGCCATGTTAAATATTCGACTTGTTCAGATGGCCGATTTTATTTTAAAAGTGAATCTACTCAAGGCTGTCTCAGAGATGATTGCAGCTTTATGAATCAAATTTGCTCAATTACTGTATGACATTTTATTTATTCTTGTTTTCCTTGCCAACTCACCTTATGAAGTGTCCTTTAAATAAATTCATGTAAAGCATGTGCTGTTGCATTCACTATACACCAACAATAGTTTCACCAATTTATCGATATTTGAACAACTTGAAAACTGAGAAAAACAAGAGATCACTAGA